ATATATATATATATAGAGAGAGAGAGTGGGGGGGGGGCTCAAAGCATTATTGAAATGAGGGCATTTTCAGTTGTGTGAAAGCTATGTCAGTTACACAGTTCCTGCCCAATCCCAGAGCTAGAGGGTTCACCCCTCATGGCCTCTTCATGGCTGCTTATTCAGCATATTCACATACAGAAACCATCTCTATCCTTAACCTTGGGATATATCATGCATAGTCCTATGACACATTAATTTTCTTGATCAGCAGAGAAACTAATATTTCCTTGGGGTTCAGCATTACTCATGCCTCATTAGTGAACTTTTTGTCCTCAGACATGGAGTACTGGATGCAGCTCTGAACAAGGCTCGTGTCAAGATTGCTATCTACATGATGATTGCCACAGCTTTGATGGCTGGGGCTGCAGTGTATAGTGGTAAAAAAGCTGCTCAGAAGGGTGATAGCCTTGCTCTTCGAGGCATGGAATACCACAAGCAACTACGTGAGCAAGCAGCTAATGAGAGAGAAGCAGCTGCTACTAAGTCTGCCCAGTGATACAGTGATGAAGTATTGATACGATTTTTGTTATAGCAGTGTTTTATCTGTACAATCTGCAGAATGGACAGCTGAGAATAAAATGGGATGGATGACCAGGGTTCAGCAAACCCACTTATCTGCTTGTCCATGATGAGCAGAACAGTCTTTGAATTTATTCTGTAATATCTCTCATTTCTCCACATATGTGGAGCAGTAAATGATATCTTGTATACATACTATGTAATATATGGGACAATATTTTATGTCTTGTATGTTGGGAAACAGACTGATTCAGAGAAATAACAACTTGGGCAGACATTTTTGTTTGTTTCATTCTGGTCCGTCACACTAACAATTACTACTACTATTTAAGTTAAATAGTCACATTAGATGGTGTTATTTTTGTCTTTATCTGTCTTTGGGCAGACATAGTTTATCTTGTTCAGAAATGTTGAGCAAGCAAAATTTTTGTATAACTGGTGAACTGAGCCAGTATTTGTCGCATTGATGGGAAATATGTTGTACTCTTCTGAGTCATGGTATGTAGGTTTGTAGACAGCATTTTGGAACCTGCTGCCTCCATGGAGGCCTACATGGTGTCACAACACAGAAGACGACAGTCTGAATTTTCACAATGAGAACCTGAAGTGCCATGTCAAGAAGTAAGAAGGGTGTCTAGCAAACTTAAATTCTGTAAGGAATGTTTTGGGCTTAAATATATTTATTTTAAATTTCAGTCAGTCAAATTATGTTACAGTACTATATTAATTTTCTCTCCATTTCCCCAGTTAGGTTTATTTAAAAATTATTTTCAAGATTGCTGCTAAGGCAACTTTAACAAGGGAATGGTCCATTCCGACATGTCGAAACCTGCCCTGATTTTTTTTTTTCACTGCAAGAGTACACACAACAAAATCCACTGTCAAAATTTTAGCTGCTAATACGCACTGCAAGTATTTTTTAAAAATTGCCGAAGTTACTCATTTTTTGTGTATGCGGAACCGCTTGTACCAGAGGTTTGTACAACCCCAGCTGTGTACTTGTCAGATTATGATGCATTTGTGCTGTGTTATCTCCCTACCGATACACCGGAAGCCTAGGCTATGAGTCAGCCATGTTGCGTACTGCCCTGCTCTGCTAGGGGTGGACATTTCTCCAAGGGTCTGGCAGGCTATAATATTGGCCATGTTCAGCAATTTTTAAAAAATACTTGCAGTGCGTATTAGCAGCTAAAATTTTGACAGTGGATTTTGTTGTGTGTACTCTTGCAGTGAAAAAAAAAAATCAGGGCAGGTTTCGACATGTCGGAATGGACCATTCCCTTGTTAAAGTTGCCTTAGCAGCAATCTTGAAAATAATTTTTAAATAAACCTAACTGGGGAANTCCTCAGACCTTCCAGTATTCTACATTTGCCGTTTCATCTTTCCCCAGTTCCCACAACATTTTGAATAGGTGGAGGAACTACTTCTCTCAGTTATTGAATGTACACAGGGTCAGTGCTGTTAAGCAGACAGAAATCCATACAGCTGAGCCGTTAATACCTGATCCTAGCCCTTTTGAGGTTGAAAGCGCTATTGCAAAATTGAAACGGTATAAACCGCCAGGTAGCGATCAAATTCTGGCAAAACTTCTTTAAGCAGGAGGCGAAATATTACGTTCTAAGATCCACAATCTGATTACTTCTATTTGGGATAAGGAAAAATTGCCTGATCAGTGGAAGGAGTCTATTATTGTACCAGTTCACAAGAAGGGCGATAAAACTGACTGTAATCATTATCGGGGGATATCACTGCTATCAACTTCATACAAAATTTTATCCAGTATTCTACTCTCAAGGTTAAGTCCATATATAGATGACATTACTGGGGATCATCAGTGTGGGTTTTGACAGAATAGATCAGCTACAGATCAGATCTTTTGCATTCATCAGATATTGGAGAAAAAATGGGAGTATCATGAGACAGTACATCAGCTATTCACAGACTTCAAGAAAGCCTATGATCAGTTATGAGGGAAGTATTGTACAATATTCTGATAGAGTTTGGGATACCCATGGAACTAGTTAGATTGATTAAAATGTGTTTAAACGAAACATATAGTAAAGTCCGTGTAGGTAAACATTTGTCTGATAGATTTCCTATCCAGAATGGTCTAAAACAAGGAAATGCTTCATCGCCACTCCTTTTCAACTTTGCTTTAGAATATGCCATTAGGAAGGTCCAGGGAAACCAGGTGGGACTGAAATTAAACAGACACATCAGCTGTTGGCCTATGCCGATGATGTGAATTTACTGGGTGGTAATGTAGATACCATAAAGAAAAACACACGAAGTTTAATTGATGCAATTAAAGAGGGTGGTCTAGAGGTAAACACAGAGAAAACTAAGTACAAGGTGGTTCAAATATGACCAGGACTGATGTTTTTTTTTAAAAACCATAATTGCCAAAAACTTACATGAACATATCAGTCTTCAACGTACTCCTCTCCAGAGTCAACACATTTTTTCCAACGTTCTGGAAGCATCCTGATGCCCTTTTCAAAAAAGGCTTGTGTTTGGCGGCATATCTACTCCCGAACAGTCTGGATGACAGCATCGTCCACAAACCACATGCCGTGCAAGTCTGATTTGAGCCTTCCGAACAGGTAGAAATCACTTGAGGCCAAATCGGGACTGTACGGCGGATGTGTCAGAAGGTTCCATTTCAATTTCTGGAGGGTTTCCATTGTTGTTTTGGCTGTATGGGGGTGTGCATTGTCTTGAAGGAAGGCTATCCGCTTGGATCGGATCTTTTCCTTCAATTCTGTTGCCAGGAGGTCTGAGTAATAAGCTGCATTGACTGTTTTGGCATCTGTCAGAAAGTCTACATGGATAACCCCCCTGCCAGTCCCAGAAGAACGTTGCCATCACTTTTCTTGCCAAATGGCTCCTCCGCGCTCTCTTGAGTTTGGGAGAACTGGTATGCTGCAACTCGCATGATAACTGCTGGGACTTGGGAATGAAGTAGTGCACCCACGTTTAATTGGTGGTCACTATAGACTTCAAAAATGCATCACCATCATCTTCAAACTGCTGTAGGAGACAACTGGCAGCTTGCATGTGCACCATTTTCTTCACGTCCGTCAAAGTGTGTGGTACCCAACGTGCATTCACCTTGCGATAGTGCAGGTGGTATTTCACGATGTCTTCTACACTATGTTACGAATTGGTTGCTACGGGGGTGGGGGATCCTAATGGGCCGGGTAGGCCATTACTGCCCGTCTCATTTTACACATAATACAGTTGCGTTTATTGCTGATATAATATAAATAAAATACAGTTGCGTTTATTGCTGGCATAATATAAATAAAATACAGTGGAGCTAGTGGAAGGTCCTCACTACCCACGTCCACTCCGGAGGGGCCCAAACTCCGTTCCGCCGTATCCTTTTTATTTGGTGGAAGTTAATTTGGCAAGGTAGGGGCCTCACCCTACCTGAGTGGGGTCAAACAGCTCGGTAAGCCCGTATTCCGTTACTTACCGCCCTTTGGGCCCACGTTCGAAACCCCCCCC